TCTTCTTCACATGATATATATATATATATATATCTTCAAACCAGTTTGGTGGTTTAATTGAAAAATCTTTCATCTTCCCCATAGTAACTTATGTATATTCGAGGTATTTACTATTAATTAATTATGTATTTCCATAATTATTATAATTTGATTGATATCAAATTTGTGATTGACAATAAATTTTATAAATTATGCGTAAATTTTGCGAATTATGGAATTTATTTACAACAGATTTAACGACTTATGTTTAAGTAATTAATAAAATTAGAATATTTAATCGATCAATTAATCTCTAATCTTGTAAGTATATATATATACTTTTATTTTTATTCGATATAAAATCAAGTCATTATTCTTAATTTCACGATTAACATATTTAATGCGAAAATGAAGGGCATTAATCTCTTATTTTGTACGTATGTATATGTACCGAGTATCTATTAAATCGAAATTAAAGATAGTATTCTCAATTTTATATCTATAATATTTAATATAAAGACGAATAACATGAAAGAAAGAAATATTTAGAGACAGTGAATGAGCTAAAAATAGTAGAAGTTTTGATAAAAATCTAACATCTCACTCCCTTTTAAATTAAGAAAGAAGCAATCATTAATATTAATTAATTGAAAATCACACCTTTTAATTCAATTGGTTTCCAATACTAAAAACTAAACAAGAAAATCAATTGGTTCCAATTTTTCACTTTTCTTTTTCAACATCATTTTCATTATTTGAACCTACCACAACTTTATCAAATTTGCTAATCTAATTTGATTTTTAATTAATATAATTTTAATTAAATTATGCAATTAACTATTTATTTGACTTGATTTAATTACTTAATTGTGTAGTTAGTATTTTTATTTTTATTTATTTATTATAAATACATGAATTCGAATTGAAATGTTCTGTTTATAGATGTTAAAATATATGAATTTTTCTTTTATAAAAAAAATTTGAAATAAAATACATGATTTATTCAATATTTCAACCCACAATTTATATAATCAAAATTTAGATCAATATAATTTTTATTTAATATAAATCACTAATAATAATTAGAGGTAGATTTTATAAAATTTATAAACATAAGATTTAAGAAGTGAGATAATAGTTTCTCAATAAAAATTTAGTATACAATTTACAATAATTCTACTAAGGCCATTTAAAAAGAAAGACTATTTATTTTATTCAACAAATTATTTGCTTTCATAAGGATAATGACTTTAGCAAATTGTAAACCTAAAGATATTCTTTGGAGGTATGAGAATCACTCTTATATACTATTTATTTTCAATGATGTACATATATATATATGTGTGTGTATGTATGTATGTACATATAAGTGCTTTTGTAGTACTTACTTATCAATATGTATTTACCAACCAAATTATACCAAAAAAGTAAAAGTAAAATTTTGTAAAAATACATTATATTTTGAATTTATGATTGAATTCCATTTAAACTTTTTAACTAAAAAAAGGAAAGTTTATTTTATAATTTGAAATTTAATTAATAAGGTTATGTTAAAAATTAAATGACTTATTTTAAATAACAAAAATTTTTAAAATATTTTTTTAAAAGTTAACCATTTTAATCCGGATCAAATTCGATCGAATTAGACTAAATTAGATTGGACGAAAAAGAAAAAATTTTAGTCTTTGATTCAAATTATTTATTTTTTTTCATTTAAATAAGTTTTGTTTCGGTTCAAGACATTTGAATACTTCTAATTCTAATTAAATAAATTCTTTATCAAAACTAATTAACTTTTTCATGATTAGTTGATGTAAGAAAAAAAAAAATACTTTATTCAAAACTGAGACTGATGATAGTAAAAATTAAAAAAAAAAAATAGTTCTTTATTTTATAAATAAAAAAAAAATAGATTAAGAATGATGATAACATTAGTTTGAGGTAGAGATATATATATATATATATACATACACACACACACATAATGAATTTGAGGTAGAGTTTTACTAAACTTAATTAGAACTAATTAGAAGTATTCAAATGTCTTGAACCGAAGCAAAACATATTTAAATTGAAAATATAAATAAAACTCATCTTATCAATGTAAATATAATTATAAATTTAAAAATATAAATATAAGAATATTTATTAATGTAATATATTATATTTATTAATAAAAATAAAAATATATTTATAATAATAAAATAATATACACACACACACAATGAATTTGGTTTGAATTGGTTTAGGAAAACCAAATCTATACCGCTCCAATCTGTCGCTCATTCTTTTTTATTTTCATCAAAGTATCTTAATAAATATATAGATCAGTTTGTGTTAAAAAAAGAAGATCTGATTCAGGATATGTAATGGATTTGGATCCACCCACGATTCCTTGTCAGCGGAGCGGATTGCCCTGTTTATCATCATGGTGATGAGAGATGTGGGTAAAGAGTTCCCAACTCAAAAGTCCTGCACCTGATGTCACTGTTAGCGCCATGCAAATGGACAAACTATGCATACCCAATTCTGCAACTTGACATTAATATCCTCTGCAATCATCCTTTTAGATTCCAAATCAATAGACTTTCCAGGGATTATAATGTCCTTTTACTCCCCCGCCATTCCTGCGCAGTCTCTGGAGAATGCCATTGCGGAAAACTAGATAAACCGCCCGCCATCTCTCATCTCTCTCTCTCTCTCTCTCTCAACTGGCGTGTGGGTAAAACAAGTATTATTCTTTTGGAGAGTGTTTGTTTCAAGACAAGTTGACGTTTTGGGGTTCCTTTATTGCCTTTCTTTTATGGGTATTCGCCATAGCTTTCGTTGACAAATGGGAGGCTCTTGCTCTCACTAATAGGTTTGGTTCTCTTCCCAACTCATCTCTGTTTTTCCTCATTATCTTGGTTTTGTATTTGTGTTTCTTTACTTCTATTTTTAGCCAATAACTTCTTCCTCTCACCCCGGTCGTTTTATTGTTTTGTTTTGCTTCGTTTCTTTTTCTTTGATTGAACAGTGAGCATACGTTTCATTTGTTTAGGGTTTGTTATTTCTGGCTATGAAGGCTCTTTGGGTTACGACTGGTTGATTGGAAATGATATGATTGTTGGGAAATTATGCCTTTCTTGGTGCATGTAGTGTGTTCGAATAAAGTTCTATCTTTTCTGAGGCCGAAAAAACTGATGGGTCTGATTAAAATTTAGTATTGAAACAATAGCTGGGCGTGGTTAAAGCTTTAATTTTGACATTTCTTCTTCTCGTATTAAACTGACAGCTTCTTTCATGACTTACTTCTCGATATAATTGGGTGGCTTTATCACTGGTTTCTGTTTGGAATATTTCAGTGGGATTTTGGTATCATTTGGTCAGGTCAATTACAAAGGTTCCTACTTTAGAATTTGAATTGGTAAAGTTCTCTGATTGGTTTTGTGGGATTAAATAAATCCTATGTAAGAGCAGAATTTTGAGAAATCTGTTGATTGAGGTAAAACCGTAGAAGGAATTGCTTGATATGCTATGATATTGACTCCTTCAAGGCCATCGGCTTCCCCCTCCCCTCAAAACTCTGTTTCCCCTATTGAGGAAATATCTAACTTAGTCTGTTCGAAAAAATTTTCTTTTTTAGATTAGTTCCAGGGTAGTTTTACTTTTCCAAAAATCTCCTAATTTTGGTAGTTATTATGGAAATTTCATATACCTAGCTGAAGCTCATTGTATATTTCGATTCAAGTACTATTTGGATGATAGAAGTTGAATTTGGAAAATGGGCATTCATGGAGGGTTAGAAATCTCTCTCTTGTGGAATTAGAAATTTCTTAGTTCAGAGGATTGCACAAACAAAAATTCAGATTTTAAAAATTCTCTTTCTTTATTGCTCAGCACACCTTTGGTGCAGTCTCTAGTCTATTTCTATTCTTTTGGTTGACTTCAATTACTTGACATATGTGATTAGATTATAGTGTTCGTATTTTATTTAGAATTTAACTAATTTCACCCCTATATTGAATTTTCGGTGATGAGTTTTTGTTTCTACCTGGCAATGAAGAATCATAGAAATCCATTGATCTTGACTTGATATGAAATAATAATACCGTTTTTATTCAAATCCTTATATCATATCTATTTTTTGCTATTTTTGATTCCCTGGAATTTGTAAATCAAATGCATATAGCTTTAGTGTATTGGAAAGATTAGTTGGTTGTGAGTTTGCAATTGGAAATGTCCTGTTATTAGTGTGATTCACACATGTATTTATGCTAAACAAGAAGACCCCTTCGAAAGTAATTTTTCTCGAAGTGGTTGTTCTTTTTTGCTTTATATTCAATTTAATGTGTTTCTCTGTTATGAAATTTATGTTAAAACTCAGAACGATAAATTTTGATTCATTGACAGTTAGCTTGTCAAGGATTCTTGATCTATTGAAATTCATCTGATTCGATATACACACTTTTAAAGGATGAATATTTGCATTTTTGGAAGGAAATCAGAGTCCATGAATCACAAAATGTAACTACTGAATTGAAAAAATAAGCTTTTAGGAGTCTTCAAATCCTCCTGATAGGCTCTTTTTCTTTTAAAAACTTATTTACTTCAATCAATCAGGTTTCTTCTTGATATGTTAGCAAGACAAGAAACAAATCATTAACTCTGTTTTGACATAGTTAGGTTAGTACTTGTTTTATTCATTTCAACCAATTCCCTTGCCTCCACACAGAGAAGACAGGGGAGAAAAGGCTACTTATCAGTAAAGTTCTTCCTAACATCATTAAGCAGGTTACAAGTCATGGCTATCAAGAACAATTTTTGACAATAGATAATTGTTTAATTGAGTTGCTATATGCCGTTATCTCTAAAGCTTGAATTCAAACTGCAGATTTCACTGATAAGGAACCTTAATTCTCGGTCATTGACTGATATTTGACTTCATTGACTGCAATGGTTGGTATTGAAGATTCATACACTCAGCCCCTTGGAAGATGGCCTGTTTTTTACTACGGTGTGGGGCACATGTTAAATGACATTACCGCTTCTTGTTGGTTTACATATCTCTTATTGTTCTTGACAGACATTGGACTCTCACCAAGGTGTGCATCTCGTTACCTAGTTAGTGACATATACTCATTTAACTTATGTTTTTAAATGATGTGTGGTTCTATTATTTTCCCTTAGAAATGCATCAGATTTTCTGAGGAAAAGTAATGAAAGTCTCCTCACGGTAATACAAACAACAGCTTGATATTCTTTTTATAGAAAAAAACGTAAAGATCAATTCCCATCAGAAGTTTTAAGGTAAATTAAAAGGTCCCTTTAAAATAACTTAAAAAGCACTTTAGTCCTCTTTTTATAGAAAAACTAAAAACATCTATTTCTGTTAGAAATTTAAGTGAATACATAGAAAACACAGGCTAGCAATTGCGTGTAATTTGAAAGCAATTTTTAGGTCTTAAATTTCTAAAACTGCTGTTACTTTTTGAATCTTTATCCTCATATGCATAAACCATTTAAGACTTCTAACTCCTGATCTCTTCACATGCTATCTGGGCTTTATCATGACTTAAATTTTACAGTTCAAAGTTGTTTATGAATTTCATCTGTGGAAGCAAACATCCTAAAAATTCTAAAGTTGTATATCAAAATAAGGTTTAAATTTTGGAGGTGCTATCTATTGCATTAAATTGTGACTCATTAAAATATTTTAGCAGCAAATAAGGCAGAGTTAAAGCCATATAAGAGATCTGTGAAGTGTTTTCTGGTCCTTGTATAGAAATTGAGATTAAAAATGTTGTCTATATTAATTTTAGGGGATTATTTTGCTAATATCCCAATTTTATGAATAGAAAGTTACTTCTAAGGTTCATAACAATATTTTTTAGCAGAAAGTTACCTCAAAGAAGTATTGTTAATAGAGAAAGAAAAGAGAAAGGTGTAAACGTAGAGGATAAGACATCCTCAAAAGCCTCCAACAAAGAATAAAGCAGAAAAGTGAATAGTGAACTGCTCACCAATTCCATTGTAATTAAGTTAAAAGGACATCCTTAAACACCTCTCAGCCTTTGGCCCACATAAAAGCCTTTCTGTCCCGAAGATTGGAAGGAGGGAAATACTGATTCTCGAGTGTTCTAGCATTATTCTCTACTGACAGAACCCATAACCCCGCAAAAAAAAAAACACCCCCCAAGAAGATCTGTGCTCATATGATCATCCTTCAATACCTCTAGCTTTTTTGTTTCTTTGATGTGTATTCTAACTTTTATAATATTTTTATTCTTTTTGTCAAGGGATGCTGCCATTGTCATGCTGTCAGGTCAGGTAGCTGATGGATTTGCCACTATCTTTGCTGGCGAACTGGTACTTCATTACTAAATATGTTACAGATGCATGTTTCTTATTTGGCAAATAGATGTCATTTAAGATACTTTTGGGTTCATGCCTGTTTAATTCCCATTTAATTCTTAGATCTTAATTACTTGATTTGTAAAACTTAGTAATAATTTACGTGTTGGATACATGGTTAAAATCATTCTCTACTCATATGCTCTATTATCAATAATTAATTTTTATTTCCACATGTCAAATAAGGAATCACGAAAACATTTAAAATCAATTTGACATGGAATTGACTTAGAATTTTAATGTCATTTTCATTAAGATTTCTATTAGATTTGTATTTTATTTCCATTATTATTCTATTTTTATGAAATAAATTTCCATTACTATTCTATAAAATTGAAATTTGAACTAAACTCAATGTTAGAATGGCGACCCAACATTAGAATCAGTACTTATTTGGGCTTCCATTTCTTTTAGGATGGTTTTTCTTCTCCTCTAAAAATTGATGTAATATATGTAAAATTTATGATTTGGGAATTTTTGGTAGTCTTTTGCACGGTGCCTAAGATTTGTCTTGAAGATTTCAATTCATGAAAACGAAAGTGGAAAAACAAGGAACCTAGATGAGAAATTCATGTGTGCTAACAAACTCAAATTACTGAGAGCTTGGGATTCGTTTTCTAAATGTTTCTTGTTTTTTTTTTTTCTTTTTCTTTTAGAGCTTCTCTATTTGTTTTCTGCATTTCACATTACTTTTGATTTTTCTCATCGTCTATATAATATAAAAGAAAAGAAGGAAGCACTATCTTGAAATTATTGCTTGTATGTACTATACACATCCACAGAAGTTAATAGTTGTCTGCTGAAAGTATAAAACTCGTAGGTGCTATAACTTTCATATTACTTTTATAGCAATCATGTCCCAGTAATTGAAAGAAGAAAAACTATTTGATTTCCTTGAAATTTAGCTCAAACACTTAACCTCTTTCGAAATTTGAAGTCCAAAAAGAACAGTGTCAGGGCAGCTATTACTGCATTATTCAAAGATTTCATATTGTGACATTCTTGGTTTTTATGTCAATGCTTTTTTCCCTTAAAAATTGAAAATGATTTATGTTTCTTATCTGTTTATTATTTCTTCTGGGAATGTCCTTTGTCTTTATTGCTTCCTCTTTCTCTTGACAGATTGACAGGTTTGGGCATTTCAAAATATGGCACGCAGCAGGATCCTTGTTGGTTGCTGTTTCATTTTCTTCAGTCTTTGGTGGTTGCATTCCCTGTACAATCCTCAACACCCAATCATCAAAAATAGAAACAATTTCATATAGTGTATTTGCTGCAATCTTTAACATTGGCTGGGCTGCTACTCAAGTTTCACATATGTAAGTATACTGTAACTTGTGATGTAGAATAAGATCTCAATTTGGAATGAGCTTTCCATTAAATAATTTTTGTACTTGTTATTATTGTGTAATTTTAAGTTACTTAAGTTAATATGGTTAATTTAGGCGTTGTGTTTTTAGGTAGGTTCTAAATATTATAGGAAAAAATCTTTTAAAATTTTTCTTTTATAATTTTGCTTGTTAGTTGTAAGTAATGCTTATATGAATACTAGTAGCTACCAACAGAGAGAATATGATGATGAATTAAGAGTTCTTTTATTAGGATTTTATTCCTTGTTTTCTCTGTGTTTATTCTTCTGATTATTGTTCTGTCTAATTGTTCAATATATACCTCTTTATATTTCTCTGCGTTGATGATTAATTTCATTTTACCTGCTTTTATTCTTTTGTTTCTCACCTAAACTTCTTCTATTTCTAAATTGGCAGTACAAGATAGTTTAATTGCTTTTCATCCTGCATCATTTGGTCTTTTTTGCAGAAAATGATCCGTAACTTGATGTCTGCCTTTTTTGAATGTGTATTATTATGGCATGGAACCTCTGAGCATGGGAAAAAATGATTTTTACATTTGTGTAATATTAAGGACTTGAGTTTTGTTTTATTGAGCTGCTACTCAAGTTTCACATGTGGAATAAGCTCTGTAGCTTATTATTCACCACACAGAAATGTGCATAACGTCATACTATTTCCAGAGCAAATAGAAAAGGGATCTGGGTTTATGTGCAAGCACATGTATCTATGTGCATGCTTGTGTAGGTTTCTGCAACTGTAGTTTAGGATTTAGCAATGTTGTGAGAGGGGTAGGTAATATTTTATTCACATTAATTGATGAAAAAACCCTCCAGTTTTTATACCATTTATTACAGGATCTTTTGCGTTTGACCATGTTATTTCCTGGGCACTTTTATGGACTCAACTAATGAATTTTAGATATTATTGGCTCATAGAAAAAAAAATGCAGACAAACTGAGGACTACAGTAGGAAAGATTTTAGGGCTTCATTTGGTTGTGTTTTGTTATGCTCATTTTTCTTTGCTGCTTATATGTTCTGTTTGTGGTTGTCACTCATACTGTTGCATATCCAATATTATTTTGACATCGCTTGCTTGTAAAAGCACAGCCTTTTACTAGAGGAATTTAAGCTCAGTTTGGAATAAAGTTTAGCTGCTAATTGTTTTTTCTTCATCCATCCTCATTTCTTCTTCTCCACTCTGCCTTTTCCTTGCATCTGTATGCATGCTGCATGCTTGAATGCATAATGTATTCTATGGACCATGACTACTTTTGTTGAAGGTCTATGGTGAACTGCATCTCCCTGAACTCAACAAGCAGGGTAGTGCTGGCAAGCTGTCGGAATGCTTTTACTATGGTGAACTTAGCTCTTTTTAATTTTTTTTTTTTTTCAATCTATGCAGTTTAGCATCAGTGAAGTGTCTTTATTTTGTTACTTGCAGGTCGCCAACCTCAGCCTGTATGCAATTGCTTTAGTAGTGTTTGGCGTCAGTAAAGCAAGAACACATGATGATGTTGAAAATCAGGTTTGCTGTTTAAGGAAGTGTGAATCTGCCTCTTGAGAGCCTTAACCCTTGTTTGGATATTGTTACATGTTTGTTTCAAAATTTCAGTATCGCTGGATTGCATATTCATCAATTATTATTGGATGTTGCTTTGTGGGCATATTTCAACTTGGTAGCAAGGAACCTGGGTATGCTTAGATATTCTACAAATACTTCTAGTTTCATATTAATCTCTTAGTGGACCTAATATGGCACATTGCTGACGTATTAAACTGTGATTGAATCACAATGTTATATTCGAAAGTAAATTGTCCTAGTTTCTGGATATCTTTTGGTTGAACACAAAGCAACAAAATATGGGCATAAATTACATGATTAAACTTGCCTCATTTCTATGATAAATATGAAATTTCATTTTTTGGCTTCTTACTGATCAGGCAAAGAATTCATGTGATTATCGACCAAAAAAAAAAAGTTTCGTGTTTTCTATCAAAATGAAACACAAGAAACCATCAATGAGAAGGTTCATCATCGAAGTGTTAAATTACTGACTGCAATAAAATTAGAATTCAGCATCTTTATTCCATTGCTTATTCTTATTGATATTTCAAGAACTCATTGCATTGATTCATTAGAGAAATGAATTTTTGTTTTTCCATATATAGATTAAAGATAGGTGTACGAGGAAATAGTCATGCTAGAATATCATGGGTTTACTGGTTCCAGAAAGTTCTATACTACCAAGTTGCCGTTGTTTATTTGCTTACCAGATTAGTACTCAATGTTTCACAGGTTAGTATGCACTTCCTTTCTTCTCATAAGAGCTTTTCCCCCCTTGTTTCACTTGCCAGAAGGTGTAACAAATTAATACTGGCATGTTTTAGCTAAAGGTCCAATTATCTGTCAGATACTCAAGAATAAATTCCTTATAAAGCCTTCTCTTAATAGAATCATGGGTTCACGATTAGCTCTCTAGCGCATGTGAAACTTTTTTTGCAAGGATTACTTGCTTCATGCTTTGACATGAACAAAAATGTATTTTTTTCTTTCAGGCATATCTTGCATTCTACGTTATTGATGATTTGCGAATGGCCCAATCAGCTAAAGCTTTGGTAGTTGCACAGACCCTTCCAGCTATTAAATTCCAGTTAAAATTCTTTAATCCTCAACAATAATTTGATTTCAAATCTGAATGCTATTTTTAATATGTTTTATGGTTTATGGATTAGGTGCCTGCCATAATCTACATTTGCAGCTTCATCGTGTCTGTCCTTCTTCAGGTCCCTTTCTTGACTCTTTGTTCTGTGTGTTAATATCTTTATATGATTTTTCAACTTTCTTTGCTTCCATTCACATTCAACAATTAACCACGCTGCAGGAGATTGCATGGAATGCAAGACGTTTGAAGGCCTATTATTTTGCTGGGGGCATTCTTTGGATGTTTTGTGGTGCTGCAATCCTTCTTTTACCTAGAGGGATGAGTGTTTTGATGTATGCAATATCAATATTTATTGGCATTGCAAATGCACTAATGACGGTATGGTATAAAGTTTTTTGCTGTTTTCTTGTTCATTGCAGTCTCCGATTCCCTTCTTAACTGAAAGAAATACTACAAAGAGAAATGTGAATATTGAGTACGTAATTTATTGTCATAAATTCTGTGGTGATTATTGGGTACTCGTTCTAGGACCTGGATAAAGTTTTAGGTGGAAGGCTGTCAAACTCATGATGAGAATTATGAACTGGATATTTTCCAGCCAATTTAAGATACATTTTCTGGTTACATATTATGGTGTACTGGTTGAACCTTAGAATTTCTTGATTATGAAGCTGCTATCCAGCTTTTTTGCGAAGCCTTGTTGACATGATGCTGTTATGGTGGCATTGGTTGGAAGCGCACCAGCATACTATACATGTGTGCATGTGAGTGTGTATTTATTCCTGTGCTGGCACTGACACTTAATTAAATGGTCTTCGAGTGCTAGTCTTTGATCTGGGCCTCAGGAATTTCTTTCTTATGTTGATTTTCATTATAGAACAATGTTTCTTTTATTAGTCTTTTTGTTGGATTTCTGTGGCTGTATCTCCATCTAAATTTGCTTTTAACCATGATAGGTAACTGCAGTAAGCATGCAGAGCGTGTTGATTGGAGAAGACCTTAACGGATGTGCATTTGTTTGTGGATCATTGAGCTTCTTGGACAAAATGTCATGTGGGCTTGCGCTCTATGTTCTTCAGTCATATCAAAGTAAGTCGTTCCCCTCTTTCAGTCTTTTCAGTTCCCCTTTCATGCAGTCCATGAACCAAAAAGAAAAAAAAAAAAAAAACAGATGGTGGAGGAGAGCGAGAGAGAAAAATAAAAATTTAGAAATGGAGAATTTCTTTGTTTCTTTTACTGAATGATAGCTTGGAACTCTTGCTCTTATTGTTATTTGCAGTTAGGATGTTTCTCTTTATATCCCCTCATATTTATCCGTGTTATTTAGAGATTTCAAATCTTTACCCTGTAGCTACCTCAGTTGCATTTTGTAGCTGGTACGGAGAGTTGGACTGTAATGAAACTATGACTATAATGCACTTCAAATTATGCCACTAACATTGTTCTTTGCATCTGACCCTGAAGTCTGGGTATGATTCATATAGGCATAGACATGAGCATTTTTTAGGCCTTTGATTCGTGCTATATGGTG